ATTTCAGAAGTGCATGGCCAATCCTTCTTCCTAGTCTGTCTTAATCTGAATGTTCAGATTTAGAGGAGTATCTGACAGACAGCAATTTGTGGAGCAGTTAAAGATAAATCTGTTTTATTAATTAACTTGTGAAATTAAACGTAAAATGTTGAGTATCAAAGTAGTTAATAGCATTCTGAAGCATCTTGAGCTTTGCGTATGGAATTTCTTTAATTCTGTATGCAACTAATTTAATCCTGTAAATGGTATTTCTTTTTCCCCTCCCTAGAGCTATTTCTTCAAAAGGATTAACTGCTTTTCTAAAATCATTCCCAGGATCAGCCAAGACCTTGCTCTCATTGCTCGGGAAATCAACGATGTCGCCGGCGAGATCGACTCGGTGACGTCATCAGGCACGGGCCCCAGCACCACAGTAAGCACTGCCGCTACCACCCCTGGCTCTGCCATAGACACTAGAGAAGAGGTAGGAGATCCTCACGAAGAAGTACATAAGGTTCTTCCTTTTCTTTGTTTCTTTTGCTTTTAGCTTTTTGCTTAGTTTATTTTAGTTATGCCCATCCTCCCTGTTTGCGTGTAGTTCTGCATTTTCCAACTTTACTTTTATTCCTTTATGTTTGTGTGACAAAGCTAGTAAAGGCTAACATTTGACCTACTATTACCATGAAACTGTAAAATTAGAATAAGTGCTAATGAGGGTCTGTAAATATCCAAGATTTGATAATTGAGTATATAAATTTTGACAGTGAAAATATACCCAAAAAAAGGTATTTTTATACCTCAATAACTAGGAAATACTACAAAGAAACAGACAATTACTACAATATTTACTATTTTTAAATATATTTTTGCACATATATACACACAATGCTAGTTAGAAAATTGAAATACACACACTGAAATACATCTCTGTTTAATTCTATCATTTTCCTTTAAACTCTGCAACTTAAAGAAGTGTGCAAAAGATACTCTGAAGTGCATGTCTAGTCAGTTTTATCATATTGATGTTGTAACTTACAGTAGCATGCAAAAATAGGGCTTCTTGCTGTATAACTCCAGGAGCTATCATTTACATAGCATTGTTCTAGAAAATACTTCTAACATCAAATACAAAAAGAATGGTATGTTTTGACCATGTTGACCATCTTGATGTGAGGCCTGTAATACAAGCCAAAACTTGTCATTTGAAGGAATGAATTGCTCAGGTTCACAGATCCTGAGTGGCTTGCTATCTGGTTTTGTACCATTTGAAATCTAGGCATGATTTTTGACATTTTTAAATTATTAAGAAAAAATCAAAAGAAGACAACTATTTTGTGATACAAAAACTAATTTCATTGTTCATAAATAAAATTTTGTTAGAACACAGTTAAAAGCATTGCTTTCTATAGTATAGAGAGTTGATCTCTCAGAGCCCAAAACTACAGCATGACTGCTTTTGTGCTGCAAGGTACAGTGGATGATTGAGACAGAAATGATAAGACCACAAAGCTTGAAATCTGGTGTTTCCAGAAGAACTTTCCATGAGTCCCTGTTACAGTTAATTTCATTTCCTTACTTATTAAAATAATCTTCTAAATAGTAGACAAGAATGGTTAGCCTTTGACACATTTGATTTTGGTAGCCTGTTCTGTTATTTTCTTTTGTTATCTTTTGTAACATCCCTTTTTTTATACTACTTTAGTGATTATTTTTGTTTAATTTTTTTTCTTATTTGGTATTTAATTTAGTAACTTCTATTTTATTGGTCTGTCTGTGTAGAGTTTTGTTAACCACATTGATCAATTTAAAATGTGTGTAAAATCATCATTATTATTGAAAACCAAAAGTCTTCTTGGTGGCAAGACATATATTATTCTTCTGCTACATTTAAAGTGATAATGATCTGATTTTCCCAACTGTCTAACTGAATTTTACATAACATGATTATACATTCACCCAGATACCATCGAATTAGTCAACATTTCATTGACTAGACTTCCCATTTCTCCTTTTTGTTTTAAATTATTGTGCTTAAGTTTTTCCTTCTCCAGTAAGCCTGAGTTACTTTCCATTGTATTTGTACAATCTGCACTGTAGATGGCAGTATATAATTGTACAGGAATGGCATTTAAGTTTATCTGACAAATCAATTATCTATTCTTTTGGTGTTCAAGATTTTTTTTAATTTTGTTAACTAAATTGCAAATTATGTATTTTATGAAGACATTTTGACACTTGGATTTGGGAAGGAAAATAAGGAACAATAAAAACAATATAGAAAAACTTAAAGAAAAATACTTTTTTATACTGGTAAGGCAATATAATAAAATAAACTTGTTGTCTGTCTATGCAGCTCATTATATTTCAATTTACCATCTATTTTCCATGTTGTTGTGTGCAGTCAAGTCAGAACCAATTTATAGCTGACCTTCCAGCAGGTTTTCAGCGACAGTAAATTGTACAGGAGTGATTGCCCAGCATTCTCCTGCTGAGCAGCTTGTGGATTCGAACCATATGTCTTTGGGATTGCAGTGCAGCTTCTTACCAGTAGGCCACCAGACTCTCTGTATTTTCCATAGAGGGGGAGGAAATCTTGCCCATGGAAGAATCAAATTAAATGTATTTACATAGATTTTGTTACTATTTAAAATAAAATCTAGTGAAAATCTATTTTGTAAAGCAAATACCATTGACTTTCTTATAAAGGGTACCAATTTATTGACAATATCATGCTGATTTTAGTACTTGAGAGTGGAATAACATCTGTCTAATCATAAAATTATTATACCATTATATGAAATTTTCTAAATTACTTTGTTCTCATAAGTATTTGCTTTTGTCCTATTAGTTGGTTGATCGTGTTTTTGATGAAAGCCTCAACTTCCGAAAGATCCCGCCATTAGTTCATTCTAAACCACCAGATGGGAACAATTGTCGGTCTGGTGATGCAAGACCTCAGGCAACAGAGACTTCTGATCAGTTAACAATTACAAGGCGGAGGACGTGGAGCAGAGATGAAGTAAGTCATGGTGCCTAGGAAAATAGATACTAGGAAAATAATTTATTTATTAAAAAAGAAAAAAAAAAACCACTTGATTCTCCTCAGTGGAAAAGGGAAAGCTTTCAGCATGTATTTTGGGCTATATGAGGAATTGATAAAAACAAAGTCATTTCCTTCTCCTGACACTCCGTAAATAGTACCTTTTACAAACAGGGAGTGAAAGTTTGGAAAGATGAAGTAACTTGCCTAGGGTGTGACGTAGCTGTTATGATGGTGTCCATGTCTGCAGCAAGCAGACCTGTCCTCATAGCTGCAGACACTGAGTTTCTAGTATCACTCTGCACTTTTTCAGATGGGTAACATTTTCTAGCAATGCAGCATAATATTTTGCAGACTGTGCTAATGTGTATATTAAAAATACTTTATATCCTGATACATCAGAATTAGTCATCTTGTCTTTTCGTCTTAAAATATAGTGGAGTTTGTAGCACTTACAGAAATGGTGTTGGTATTTAAGTAAAAATGTTTGGACTTTGCCGTTACACAGGTATGGAGTTGAAGCCTAACTCATTATGTTGAGCCTCTGACTTTGGGATATTAATTTATGTATCTCTTTGAAGCTTTTTGTTTAAGGGAAATATATTTCAAAGCCACAGGAGGATTACTTTATATCACTTGACTGGATTATAAAGAAAAATGCTTAAAACATTATTACAAGTTTGTGAAAATGTGAACACATACACACTCTTCCATGAATTGAGACTGCCACCTTGGAAAGCAACTTGATGTTAGGCCCTAGAGTTGAACCCATCATATCACAGAACTCAGCCATTTTATTGCTAGGGTTGGTCCAAAAGAAATGCCTTTCACATGACATTGGAAGGCATCACAAGAAAATATATAAAACATTGTTTACAATAACAAAAACTTGAACACAATCCAAGTCTTATATTTGCAGAAAGATGAATGTATAAACTTATATATTCCCAAATTGAACAATTATAAATGAGATAAAACAAGTAAACTACAGTAAGCACCATGCAGCAGTATGAATTAATCATTTATCACAAAGATGTGTATGAACAAAAAAGTCAGTCTCAAAAAATTATATATGGTGGCATTCGTTTTCGTCCATTAGTAAGAAAAAAGTACCTGCAAAATAATATGAAAAGAACAAGAAAATGATGAAATAAAGCTCAAGATAGTGCTTGTTTTTTTTCATGGGAGGCAGGTAGAAGTAGTTAAAGAAACCATATGACTAGTTATTGATTATATTCGCTATTTCTGTACAACAGTCAGGGATCAAGCCAAGGCATCAAGCAGTAGGTATTTTTGTCTCCTTCATCTGCCGGCTAGCTCAGCTGGGCAATTCAAGGTCTCAGATGAGGTCAAGGTTTGCTCCATGTTTGTTCTTTATATTTGGGACCAGTTCTTGTTGTGTAGTATCAGAAGCACAGGAGAGCAAACCTTGCCATGCAAGCACATTTTAAGCCTTCATTTTTATCAAGTCTATGTCAGAATCTATTCATACTGACTTCCTAGCACAGTTTCCAATGGCTGTAAATCACATTGGAGGAGATAGCTTGTCTGTCTCCCAAGAGCTACAAGTGATTCGAACTGCTAGAGAGGTGCTGCTCATGGATGGTTCTTACAGTGTGATTCTTCTTTTGATTTCCTGACTACTGGTGCCAAGGGTGTTAATTGTTAATCCAATTAAGATGAAACTATTAACAATTTCAGTCTTTCTCTGTCTGTCATGACATTGCCTATTATGATGATGGCCTGGTAGTGAGGATTTTTGTTTTCTTGATGTTCACATGTAACCCATACTAAAGAAGTTCTAACTCACTGAAGGCATTGGCAGAAAATAAGGCCCCAGGAATTGATGGGCCAACTGACATGTTTCAACAAACATATGCATCCTTGGATGTGCTCATCAGGCTGTGCTAAGAAATCTGAAAGACAGCTACCTGACCAATTGACTGGAAGAGATCCAGTTTCTATTTATTCCTGTTACCAAAAAAGGTGATCCAACAGAATGTGAACATTATCAAACAGTATTATTAATACCAAGCAAAATCTTGTTGAAGATGATTAAAAAAATGATTTGAACATTGGCATCAATAGGAAACTGTCAGAAATTTAACTTGGATTTAGAAAAGACCATGGCACCGCTGATATCATTGCTGGATCTTGGCAGAAAGCAGAGAATACCAAAAGGATGCCCATTTGTGTAAAGTTATTTGAATCACAGCAAAGTATGGCTAACATTAAGAAGAATGTGAATCCCAGGACATTTAATTATGCTCATGTGAAATGTATACCTAGCCCAGAGTGCTATTTTCCTATCAGGACAGGGAGCACTGTATGTTTTCAAATCAAGAAAGGTATCATCAGATTTGTATCCTTTGTCCATACCTGTTCAATCTGTATGCTAAACAAATCATTTGAGAAGCCTGACTTTGGGAAGAAGAATGTAGTATCAGAATCAGAGGAATAACTCGTGAACAGCCTGTGTTATGCAGATGACATACCTTTGCTCGCTGATAGTGAGGAACATTTGAAATGCTTTCTGCAGAAGATCCAAGCACATTCTATTTTTTTGGTTTTTTGTTTGTTTGTTTGCTCTCTTTTTTGAATGGGAACAAATACAGATCTCTTCCAATCAGTGGATCAGGTAGCTAGTTTGTTGGCCTTTTTTTAGTGAACTCATCTGGGTTTGTTCATTGAAATACATCCACTGGTATTTCTTCAATTCCTGGAGCCTTAATTTTTGGCCAGAGCCTTCTCTAGTGTGAATTTCTTCCTTCATTACTATTGGTTCCTGATCAAATGCCATTTCCTGAAATGGGTCCATGTTCACCAATACTTTCTGGTTCAGAGACTCTGTATTCCTTGAGGCTTCCTACATCATTTAAGATTTTGCCAGTAGAATCCTTCAGGGTTAACACTTGAGGATTAAATTTGTTGTTCAGTTATTTCAACTTAAGAAATGCCAAATGTATTCTTCTGTTTTAGTTCTCTAACTGCAGCTTTGTACATTTCATTATAATACTTTGCTATAGTAAGAGATGCGTAGTTGTGACACAGGCCAGAGGGTCCCAGGTCCTTACAAAGCCCAGCCAATCCCTGGTGATTACTCCAGGAATCTCAACTGGAGTGATGTCATTCCTGTCTCTAAAATCATGCTGAGAAAAATTTTCTTTGTCTGTATCTCTAGCCTGACTCTGCCTTAGAGAAAAAGGATTGCATTCTTCTTCATCTCCACACTTTGTATTATGTGTTGAAAGAAAAAAATAAGGAGTTAGTACACAAAACTCAAAGGAAGTTATCAAAACTGACTCATAGCTCATCCTCAAGCTGGTTTTCAGAGAATGTAAATTGCATGAGAGGAGATTGCTGATTGTTCTCATGCAGAGATGCTGGTAGATTTCAACCACTTCAGATGCCACCTTTGTGTCAGCAGCTCAGCTTCCCCAGACTGTGCCACCAGAACACCCCACTATACCTTTCCTTGTAATCATTGAAGACAAGAGAGACAAAGTTATGGTAGAAGTTGAATAGAGAATAAAATTGATTTTTAAAGAAACAGAACAATATGGAAACTTTAAAAGGTGATTAACAAACTCGTAAGGTAATAGTGTTTCTTTGTCTGCATTTATTTACTTATTATGCTTTAGTTTTTTTAGTTCTATCTTTTATTAAAATTACATACTTTGGAGTTATGACTAGTGCTCTTGATGGTTGTACAAAACAGTGTTAATATATTTTGTTTTTGTTTCTTTCCATGACATTAGTTACATTTCCATGACATGTCACCATTCTGTTTATATACTTATTGACATTTTGATGAATTTTATCCCAAAATGTTTCTGCACATACATAGTTCAATTTTTTCATTAATTTTTACCTCGTTTCCATTCCTTGTTATTACTGCTATTCTTCTAAGATTTTTTCTTTCTCTGTCTAACCTTTCCATAGCTTTTTAGAATAGTAATCTTAATACCATAATTGTCTTTTGATGGCTGACACTCAGCATAATTTGTTCTGGATTAATCCACATTGTGCAGTATTTCATGAATTCTTGTTGTCTTTTTTTAATTCAATGATATGTAAATACCATTTTGCAAATGTACTATATTTAGTTTTCTATAAATTTTACAGAGGAGTTCTTTATGAAATGTGGCATTGCCACATTTTTTTCCCATTCTGTAGCTTCTTTTTTTTACTAACTTTGGGAAAATTATTTTGGTGTACATGAGGATTCAATTTTTAGGTGATCTCAGTCATCTAGTTTATCCTCTTCTGATTGTTTATTTCTATTTGAGGGCTTATTCCAGTGATCAGAGCTTCTACGAGTGCCTCAGTTTTGTTTCTCTGTGTGTGGTCTTTATGATTTTGTGTTTTATGCCTAGGTCCTGATCCACCTTGAGTTAGTTGGAGTGGTGGAGTTTTTTTTTTCTCCTGTAATTTTTAAAAAATTGTGATTTTAATGAAAATTCACAGAAAAGTTGCATTTTTCATTCATTCATTATTGCACATTTTCCTCTCCAGTTCTTTTTGTTAATTTTAATTTTAATTTTTTTAAATTATTTTGTGTGTGTGTGTGTGTGTACCATCAAATCAGATCTGACTGGTACAGGAGGAGGACACTGCCCCTCCTTCTCCAGCAGAGCATCTGGTGGATTTGAACTGCGCGCCTCTGGGATTGCAGAGCAGCTTTTTTGCCACTAGGTCTACAGAGCTCCCTTCCAGCTCTTTTTTAAAAAAAATAATTCATTCTTTGTTGCATAATTTCCTCCCACTCCCCTTCCCTCCCCCAGTCCACTTTACGATGCACCTCTTATTCTCTACTGTTGTCATAGAAATAATGTGTAATCATATATTCCTTTGAAACATTTCTTTCGTTCATCTGTCCCAATACAGTATTCATTATTCATTATCCCATATCAGTCATGTTTTATAACACTGGTACTATACAGTATTTGTTCTTTTGTGACTGAAATATGTCACTCAGC